TGCCCCATCTTCCTTCCGAGGAGTGGCTGGTGGGTTTGAACCGCCAGCCTTCTGGTTAGCAGTCAAGTGCCTTAACCACTATGCTATACCACTATGTATAGATTAGAGCCATAGAAATACTATAGGGTCACTATGAGTCAGAATCAACTTGATGGCAATGGATTTGGTCTAGTGGTTTTATAAGTGATCAAGATGAGGTGGTATCAGCAAAAGAATTGATCAATGGATCAGAATAGACAGCCCAGAATCGACCCACACAAATATAATCAGCTGATCTTTGCAAAGGTGGAGAAAGGATAATCTTTTCAACAAATGATGCTGGAACAACTGGACTTCACATGCAAAAAATAAATAAATCTAGATACATTACATCACCAAGATTATCTCAAAGTGGATCACAGACCTAAATGTTAAATGCACAACTAAACACTTGTAGAAGATAGCATAGGAGAAAATCTAGGTGCCCTGAGTTTTGGCAGATTTTTAGATATATCTCATCAAAAGCACAATCCATAAAAGAAAAAACTTGGTAAGTCGAACTGCATTAAATTTAAAAACTTTTGCACTGTAAAAGACATTAAAAGTGTGAAAAGTCAAGCCAGACTGAGAGAAAATATTTGCAAAATGTATATGATAAAGGATTTATAGTGAGCTATATGATGAACTCTTAAAATCCAACATTAAGAAAACAGGCAAAGATCTGCACATACACCTCAGCAAACAAGATGTACAGATGGCAAAATAAGCATATGAAAAGATGTTCAACATACATCATTAAGGAATTACAGATTAAAATGAGATACCACTACCTACCTGTTAAAATGGCTAGCATCCCAAACATGGCTAATGAAGATATGGAGCAACAGAAACTCCCATTTGTAGCTGCTGGGAATGCAAAATGATAAAACCACTTTGGAATACAGTCTGATAGTTTCTTGTAAAGCTAAAACATAAGCTTACCATAAAGTTCAGCAATTGGTCTCCTAGGTATTGACCCACATGAATTGACATGTCCCCACAAAAACCTGCATATGAATGTTTATACTAGCTTTATTTATAATTGTCAGACATTGGAAGCAACCAAAATGTCCTTAATAGGTTGAATGGATAAATAAATCATGGTACCCCTATAATGGGATATTATTCAGTGATAAAAAGAAATAAGCTATCAAGCTGTGAAAAGGAGGATCCTTAAACACATACTGCCCAGTGATAGAAGCCAATCTGAAAATGCTACCTACTATATAATTTCAAGTATCTGACATTCTGGAAAAGGTAAAACTATAGAGATAGTAAAAAGATCAGGAGTGCAGGGAGACAAGGGGCAGAAGGATGAAGGAATAAATAAGCGAGGCACAGGGCATTTTTAGAGCCCTGAATCTATTCTGCATGATACTATAATGATGGATACATAATATCCATTTGTCAAAACCCATAGAACTATATAAGAAGAGTGAACTCTAAATGCATATTATAGACTTTAGTTAATGTATCAGTATTGGTGTAACAGTTGTAACAAATGTACCACACTAATGCAAGACATTAATAATAAAATGCAGTGGGGGTAAAGAGGATATATGGGAACGCTTTACTTGTACAACTTTTCTGTAAACCTAAAACTGCCCTTAAAATGATGTGTTTAAAAAAAAAACCTTTCAGAAATGATTATTTTTATTGTTTTATAAGATAACGAACATTATAATTTTTATGACAGACTTACTGTGTACTTTTTTAAGATATGTATTAGGAATTACTCAAATTTATTTGTGGATAGGACAAGGATGAGACTGAAACAGTTAAGCAGACTCAAACATCTGAGGCATATGATGGTGAAGGTTCCAAAAATGTGAGATCTGATGTTTCTGATCAAGAAGAAAATGAAGAAAGTGAAGGATGTCCAGTGTCCATTAGTAAGTTTTAAAGACTGCACTATTTTTATTCATTACTTCCTTATAGGTCACTTCTCGAACAATTTGGTGGAGTGTGTTGCGTATAGAATTAGTTCCAAATGACTCGGCATTTGAATTTCAGATTCGTCTGTCTTTGTGACTTTGTCTAAATTACTTGCCCTTGCAGCACTAGTTTCTAGTACTTGTTTTTGAAGATTTCAGATAGTGTATATAAAAAACACCTACGCAATGTAGGTACATAGTAAATAGTATTCAGCGCTTAAATTTACTAACAATTATATATTAATCAACTTAGATTTGTCTAAAGCTGAAACTCAGGCTTTGACTAATTACGGAAGTGGAGAAGATGAGAATGAAGATGAAGAAATAGAAGAATTTGAAGAGGGTCCTGTAGATGTCCAGACTTCACTTCAGGCAAACATTGAAACTACAGAAGAAAATGAACATGATCAGGTATTTCCGTATAGACCAACATACCTTCCACTAGTCTTGTTTTAACTGTAAGAAAATAGATCCTTCTTGCCGATGCCAAAATTTACAGCTTACTCATTCTCATTTTAATGAATACAAACCTCTTTAATATACTTACTTAAATCTGAAACACTATATTTAGCTATATTTAAATTTTTAATCTTACATAGGTCAAGTAGAGGCTCATAACAAAAAAGAAAAATCATTCCCTTCCCCACCTCCACTTCATCCTGCCCCAGATGCATTTTTAGTGACTTCTCCTTACCTCTGTATTTCTGAAAACTGCATATATGCATATGTGTTTCTGAATATTACGTATATATGAAGAAATTCTATTCTGCAACACATGAGGTCACCATGAGTTGAAATATACTCAATGGCGATGACTTTTTTTTTTTTAATTCATATGTTATTACATATATTAGTCATCTGTTGACTTACTATAGTAGATGAGGATTTGTTTTAAGTCACTTACTGTTCAAAGTCCCAGGCTCTAGGGGCTGTGTGGAAGGAAGCCCCTTGACCATGGACTTTAGCTGTGCCTCCTGTTCCCAGCCCACGGGAACACTCAGACAGCTGCTGGCTGCTGAGACTGACAAGCCCAGGGTTGACAAGTAAAAAGGCACAGTTCCGATGTTACCAAACCACACTGCAAGCCATTGATGCAAGTCTTTTGAAAGTCCCAAGTTCAGCAGAGCATGGCAGGCTGCTGAGCAATGACATGGCTATATGCAGGGTTCAAGTGTGCCATAAGCTTGAGACCATTCCCAAAGCTGTTTCTCACATATAGGAAGCAGACCACATACCTGAAGCAGCTACTCAGCTGCTTCAATAGATTCCACCCTGGACTTAATTACCAATCTTTACCATGGGTTATAACTATATTCAGCTGCCCAACCACTCAACTAAGCCCAGACAAGTTGACACACAAACTTAACCACCACACTTCCACATCTTGTTCCTCCTCATTTAACCAAATATTTAGATGTAGCCATATTTACTCGGTTTACTCAGATAGACTGCTGAGCCAGGTAAATATTGTTTATTACTTAGCTTTATACATTTTTCTCCTGAACTCAATGATTGTCTTACTTTTTTATTTACTTAATTTTCTTTGAACATATACCCAAGTCTTTGCCATGTCCTCCAATAACTGTACAAACCTCCTCAGAGATTCTTCTACATGGACCAAATTTTTCAGTCCCTTTATTCCTTCCTGTAGCAATCCTCCTTCCTCCCTTCTAGGCTTTGCTGTTCAGACCTGCTGAATGGATACCAACCTGAAACTCCATTTGTTATTACTCTTTGTTATATCCCTGTTTCTGAGAACCAATCTTTGTCTTTCTCTTTCTTAGTTTATTGCCTCATTTTGATAGAGCACATCTTCCAGTCCTTTCTGAGAAAGAATACAAAAAAGATAAATGTTTTTGAGACTTTATGTATCTTAGAAAATGTTTCATTCTTCCTCATGGAAAATTACTTTGCCTCAGAGCTTTGAAGTCATTGCTTCTTGATCTTGTTTTCAGTGCTGTTGAGAAATCCAGTGCCTTTCTTAGTTCTGATCCTTTGTATTTATGTGTTTTCCCCTCCTTATTCCAGAAACTTTTTTCCCCTGGAATTCTGAAATTGTACAGTGATATACTTCATTCTAGGTCTTTTTTCATCACTATGCTAGGTACATTAAATGGGCATGGAACAAGGGATACCATTAGTAGTGTCAGGTGAATCTTGGCTGAAAGCAAAGAATAACAGAAAGATGTTTACCTGTGTTTTACTGACTATGCAGAGGTATTCAGTTGTGTGGATCATAATAAATTTGGGTAACATTGAGAAAAATAGAATTCCAGAGCACTTAGTGCTCCTGAGAAACCTATACATAGACCAAGAGTCAGTTGTTTGAACAGACAAGAATATACTGCATGGTTTAAAATCAGGAAAGGTGTGTGTCAGGGTTGTATCATTTCTCTACACGTATTCAGTATATATGCTGAGCAAATAATCTAAGAAACTGAACTATATGAAGAAGAATGCAGCATCAGAATACTGAGATGATGCAGTTGTGCTTGCTGCAAGTGAAGACGACTTGAAGCACTTACTGATGAAGTTCGGGACTACAGCCTTCAGTATGGAGTACACCTCAACATAAAGAAAACAAAAATTCTCACAACTGGTCCAGTAAGCAACATCGTACTGAATGGAGAAAAGTTTGAAGTTGTCAGAGATTTCATTTTACTTAGATTCACAATCAACACCCATGGAAGCAGCAGTCAAGAAATCAAGCAACATATTGCATTGGACAAATTGGCTGTACGAGACTCTTTAAGGTTTAAGAGGAAAGATGTCCCTTTGAAAACTAAGGTGCATTTACCCCAGGCTTCATATGCACATGGGAGCTGGACAATGAATAAGGAAGACCATAGAAGAATTGATGCATTTGAGTTGTGATGTTGGTGAATAATATTGACTCTATCATGAGCTGCTAAAAGAAACAAATCTGTCTTGGAGGAAGTACAGCCAGAATGCTCCTTAAACATGAGAATGGCCAGACTTTGTCTCTCGTACTTTGGTCGTGTTTTCAGGAGGAAACAGTCCCTGGAAAAGAATATCATGCTAGGTAAGTAGAGGGCCAGTGAAAAAGGGGAAGACCCTCAACAAAATGGATTGACATGGTGGCTATGATGATGGCTCAAGCATGGCAACAATTTTGAGGATGGCACAGGATCAGGCAGTGTTTCATTATGTTTGTACATTGGGTTGCTCTGAGTCAAAACCACCTCTATGGCACCCAACCACAACATGCTGGATACTCGGTGCATCCTTTAAATCTATATCATGTCCTTTAGTTTGAGTAAATTTTTGTGTATTGTTATTTTTCGCCTTTCTGGAATTAGTATCATCATACATTAACCCTCATCAATTGATCTTCTGGTTTTTTTGCTTTCTTCCTTTTATTATTGTTTGTCTTATCTTTTTGTGTTGTTTTCTGAGAGATTCCCTTGACCTTAATACTTATAATCAATATAATTTGTGAGCCTTTTTTTTTTTTTTTTTTCTGATTGTTACTTTTTTATAGCACCCCATTACTTCACGAAAGCAATATCTTCTCTTATCCACCTGGAGGTTCTTCAAATGTCTACTGATCTTTTGGTGCCTGTGTTAAAGAATGATATACCAAAGAGCTGATTGGGAACTTTTTAACTTGACTGTAAGGCAGCTGGGGAGACAACCAGCTTTTCAGTAGATAATTGTGAATATCTGTATTTATTATTATCTTTTCTTTGGAGTGATTATTTCAAAAGAGGATTTTTCAGTCTCCTTTTGCTTGGGGTATACCAAGCTTGGCTGCTGGTAATCTGGAGCTAGGTTTGGGAAGGGGGCTACGGTTCCCACTATTACACAGACTTACACTAAATCTCCCTATTTTTATTATGACCCTTTAGCCTGCATTCGTTTGTGCTTTCTGCTAGTCTCACTCCTCACCCATGCCCCCCAGATCTGATACTCACTAGTTCATTTTTTCCTAAACATAATCTATTTTCTATTGAAGTTGGTGGAAGGAACCTAGGTGTTCAACTTTTCCTTAAACAGCTTCAGACCACCACCACCCTTTTCACCACTCTCATCACCTCACTCTAGGATCTGGTACTTCCAAGTATGGGATGAATCTCACCTTTCATTGTCTTCTTCCTGCTGAAGGCACTTAGTTTTTTCCATCTGCCTCTCCTCCTGGTTAGTTCCTCTTCTTTCTGCTTACCATCTACATACATAATGCTTCTAGTTTCACTTAAGATAGTGTCTAAAAAATGATCATAAATTGTAGAATGTGTAATATTCCTGTTTTTTGTGTTACTATGAAGTGGTTTATAGAGAAAAGGAAATTTTTTTACCTATCTGTCTTGAAAATGTGACCATAGCTTCCTTGAAACACTTTAGAAGGACATTTTATTATTTCTATGAATATCTCAGGTTGGACAAAAACCACACACTGTTAACCATCTCCCATTTAGTCACCATATATTTTAGGTGCTATTATAACAAGTCTTTTCCCTTCTAGGTTCTACAACATGACTTTGAAAAAACAACAGAAAGCAAAAATGTACCATCAGAACAGGAACCCACTTCAACTAAAGGTGAGAAATATAAATTGTTTAGTTTTAAGGTTACCTAATGTGTAATCTTACATGCTTTATGTTTTCAAACTAAAAAAAAAAAATCTAAATTCTTAGAAAACGTAAGTTTGAAGGTATTTTGGACCTGATGTATGCCTTTTCCATCCCCACCCCACAAATCCTTTGTGGGAAATACAAGAAAGCTGTGTTTCTGCAAACAGGTGTTTAAAAAGTAGGCAAATATTAACCACATAAGAAAATTCTTTAAGGAAGACATACTTCAATACAAATAGGGGAAAAAATATTTTTTTTTAAATGTCTGTTCCTGGGATCTACACCTGAAAGTGGTTCATTAGAAATGGATTTCAGGAATCTGATTTTTCAAATACCTTCAATGAATCAGATCCACCAGATTTAAGGACTATTGATAAGGAAACTTCATAGCTGCCTTTGTTTTTGGGTCTTAAATTTCTTGATTATGTTCATACAAATTGTCTTCATTTAGTATGGCATACAGTAAAATTTAACAACTGCAGAATTAACACTAATGTTAACATTTTATTTTGATTACAGATGACCAAGATAGTACTCCTGTGAAACCCTGTTACCTCAATATTTTAGAAAATGAGCAACCTTTAAATAGTGCTGCCCATAAGGACTCACTCACTACCATCGATTCATCCAAACAGCCTAATCCTTTGCCATTACCTTTAACTGAAATTGAAACCTTAGTGCCTAGAGTCAAAGAAGCTAAATCCACTCAGGAAACTCCTGAAAGCTCTCTGGCTGGAAGTCCTGATACTGAATCTCCTGTGTTAGTGAATGACTATGTATGTATCATTTGCATTTCCAAATATTTTTGTTTTTCATTTCTGTGCATTTCTCAGGTTAACATTGTCAGCATATAAACAAGCTCGGCTTAAACTGCCAGAAGAATTTTTATTTCTTACTCAAGCTTATTTTAAACTTGAGCGACAGGGTAATAGTGAATTAAGATGACTATATCAAAACCTAAAAACTTTTCTACTTCTTTATAGTTTTGAGAACCAAGGATGCTTGAATTTTAGGCAGCAACCTTGAGAGCATTTCAGTTCAGAGACATCTGAAGTGTAATATACAAATGTGGTACATGAATCATTATTAATCTCTTACACTTCCCATGCTTCTCAACTGTTTAAAACATTTCATAAATTTTTGACAAACCTAAAAGTTTGCATTTTGAATGGAAGTGCAGTAATTTGACAGCAATGGAGTCCTTATCCCTAAATAGTAAAAGACAGGAAAATATGTTAGGAAATCTGTACATCTGGTAGTAGGTACTTTAGTTTCATTTTAGACCTTTGTTTTAATTTAAGTTTATAGGTAATAGGTTATTTTTTAGATCTTTGGGCTGTATGTGTTTTACAGTTTGTCTTGTCAGTAAAAAGGCAAAGATTTATAATTTAGTATTAAAACCAAATATTACTCACAGATCTAAGGAATGTGCTCCATACTCTAAATTAGCATCTGTTCCCTTCTAAAAGATGTATTTATACTTATGGTTTCATAATTCTTAAAAAGAGACATATATTGCTTCCAAAGCATTGTTAGAGTTAATTCTTTTAACTCAGTTTTGTTTGCCTCAATACCAGTAAAATTATTCATTTTAGGCTGTGAAAGATGACTGCTAGATACATTATCCTTTGATCAGTGCATAGTGTTGCTGTAGGAGACATTCAATTGAAATTAACTTGAAGTTAGATTATAGAGGGCCTTAAATTTAAATTTTAGATGGGAGACTTTAGTGAGGGTTTATGTGCAGGAAAGTGAAATGATCAGTGTTAACGCTTTATGAAGATTAACCTGATGATTATATAAGACATATCATCAAGGAGCTGTGTTAGGAGGCTCCATTCTCCCACTGTTGTTAGATGTTGTTGAGTTGACTACAACTCATAGTGACCCCCCGTGACAGGGTTTTCTAAGCTGTAATCTTATAGGAGCAGATCGCCAGGTCTTTTCTCCTGTGGAGCCTCTGGGTCGAGTCAAATCACAAACCTTTCGGTTGGCAGCTAAGTGCTTAACAATTGCGCCACCAAGGCTCCATTTACTCTCTGCTGGAGGTAAGAAGTAAAAGCTGAATGAGGGTAGGATGGGGGAGAAAAAGAAAATTCTAAAGTCTGCCTCTTGGGTAATTGGTAGAATGGTGATACTATCAAGAATTAGAAGAAGAAAAGAATTTGAGTTTTGGAAAAACACGGTTTGAGGTGATCACAAAGATGAGTTACTAAATTCACTCCTTGTTTTTCTTTTTTGAGTCTCAACAGAGTAAATATTGAAAAGTTTTCAGTTGTTTACTTACACTTTGCTAGGTACAGTTCTGATGCACTCTGTAAGCATATTAAGAAATAATAGTTGTATGGTAATCACTCCTATTTTTTCATTTCACCTATGTAAATAGGTGCTTTTAAAAAAATGGGGAATAAGTATCTTACTAATACTTATCTGCTTTCATAACTTTTTTTTTAAATTTTTTTGTGATGTGGGTGAAAGTTTTCAGGGCAAATTCATTTTCCATAAAGCAGTTCACTGCTTTCATAACTTTTACTTGGAGTTGTTTTTTATTTTCTAAGGCAGTATAGAGGGAACTCTGGTAGCATAGTACCTGAGGCACTTGACTGCCAACCAGAAGGCTGACGGTTCAATTCCACTAGCCCCTCCTCAGAAGGAAGGTTGGGCAGTTTACTTCCATAGTGATACTGCCTCGGAAACCCAAGAAGGGGTCTCTGTGAGTTGAGTCCGACTCGACGGGACATAACAACAACAAGAAGGCAGTATAGTAATGCTGGATGATAAATTACTTGAGAGTAAGACTATCCATATATTTATATATCTTTACTAAAGATAGTTTATAACTGTCAATGGGGAAAGGGATTAAATAAATAGTATTAAATTATAAAGAGATGTTTTCAAAACTGGAGGGAACAAAAAGAGTACTTGTAGGAAAAGGGTTGAATGCGTGAAAATATCCACCCTTTTTCTAGGATTAACAACTATTTTAGTAATTCATTATTGGGTCCTGTTAGTGTTAAGGGAGTTCTGGTGGCATAGTGCTTAAGGCATTTGACTGCTAACCAGAAGGCTGGCAGTTCAAACCCACCAACCACTCCCCAGAAGGAAGGTTGGGCAATCTACTTCTGTAGTTACACTGCCTCGGAAACCCAAGGAGGGGTTGCTATGAGTCAGATCCAACTCGATGGCAGTGAGTTTGGTTTTATTATTGTTAAAGGAGCTCTGGTGGCATAGTGGTTAAAGTGTTCATTAGGCTGTTAGCTGGTTCAAACCCACCAGCTGCTATGCGGGAAAAAGATGAGGAAGTTTGTTCCTATAAAAATTTACAGCTTTGGAAACCCTGTGGGGCAGTTCTTCTCTGTCCTATATGGTCTCTCTGAGTCAGAATTGACTCTATAGCAGTGGATTTGTTTTTGTTTAGTTTATTCTTCTTAAATACTGTTTTATTCTTTCCTTGAGTTCTGAATTTTTAGCTTATATGTATAAAATCCAGTTGTTTTATGAGTTTTTTAAAACTTAAGAACTAGTTTTTAAAAAATAAATGTGATATGATTATCACAATACTTAGCAGTGTAATTTTTTAAAACTAGTTCTTAAGTCACATGAAGGTTTTTTTTTTGTAAAATTGATATAGAAAACCATCAGACTTTATTACTGTTAGGTCTTGTCAAGTTGGTTCTGATTCATAGCAACACCATGCACAATGGAATGAAATATTGCCATTTCTTATACCATTCTCACAGTCGTTGCTTTGTTTGAGCTCATTGTTGCAGCCACTGTATCTATCAATCTGTCTTGACAAGGTTTCTCTTTTACTGACCCTCTCCTTTAACAAGCATGATGTCCTTCTCCAGGGACTAGTACCTCCTGATAATCTGTCCAAAGTACAGGAGACAAAAGTCTTGCTGTCCTTGCTTCTGAGGAGCAATCTGGCGTATTTCTTCCAAGAAAGATTAGTTAATTCTTCTGGCAGTCCATGGTATATTCAGTATTCTTTGCCAATATCATAATTCAAAGGTATCAATTCTTCTTCAAGTCTTCCTTATTCCTTGTCCAGCTTTCACATGCATAGGAGGCAATTGGAAATGCCATAGCTTAAGTCAGATGCACCTTAGTTCTCAAAGTGACATCTTTGCTTTTTAACATTTTAAAGAGATATTTCACAGCAGATTTGCCAATGCAGTACATTATTTGATTTCTTGGCTACTGCTTCCGTGAGCATTGATTGTGAATCCAAGTAATTTTTTCTGTTTACTATGATGTTGTTTATTGGTCTAATTGTGAGGATTTTTTTTTCAATGTAAAAGGTTTAAGCCATACTGAACGCTATAATCTTTGTGAGTATAAAAACCTTATTTTTAATGCATGATTTTTAAGAACCTCTGCTTTATGATTCATCTTTGCAGCCTATAAACTAGACTCAGAAATTCAAATGGGTACAAAGCTGAGAAAGGTAACAAAAGCATGAAGCTAATCAAGAATATGAGAATAGGTGCCTTGATGCTTGCATTAAACCAAGCATATCTCCTACCTGGCTAAACCATCTTTTAAAATATGAAGGCCAAAAAAGAGCTAGACAGTATCCCCACAGCTGCAGATGTGTGACCATTCCTGTGAAACCTAGAATCTAGTTTTATTCATAGAGTTGAATATAGAAGAAAAACAAGTATGATAGAATTACTGATACATGCTTATATAAAAACCCACTGCCAATGAGTCGGATCCGACTCATAGTGACCCCTCCTTGGGTTTCCGAGGCAGTATCACTATGGAAGTAGATTGCCCAACCTTCCCTCCGAGGAGTGGTTGGTGGATTTGAACTTCCAGCTTTCTGGTTAGCATCAAATGCCTTAGGCAAAAGAAGAAACAAACTCACTGATGTCAAGTCATTTCTGACTCATAGTGACCCTATTCTGACTCATAGTGACCCTGTAGCACGGAGTACAACTGCCTCATAGGGTTTCCAAGGGTGTAAATCCTTATAGAAGCATACATCTCATCATCTCCTGTGGAGCACCTGGTGGGTTCAAACTCCTGACCTTTGGATTGGTGGCCAAGCACTTAACCACTGCACGACCTGGGCTCCACTTATACATAGAATCCACTTTATATCTTACAATGGATGTCTTTAATTTATATCCATAGATACTATTATATATAATTTGTTTCCCTTAAAGGAAGCAGAATCTGGTAATATAAGTCAAAAATCTGATGAAGAAGACTTTGTGAAAGTTGAAGATTTACCACTTAAACTGACAATATATTCAGAGGTATTTGGCTCTCTCTTCTTTAATTACACTTGCCTTATAAAACAAATATCCTTAAGTTGAAAAACAATTCAATTTTTTTTTTTCCTTCCAAAGGCAGATCTTAGGAAGAAAATGGCAGAAGAGGAACAGAATAACCGTTTATCTGGGGAAATCTGTGAAACACAAAGTGAAGAATTAGCTGGGAATTCCCAAAAACTAAAAGAACCTGGTATGAGTTATCAATTTTAATCTTATATTAAAAAATTGTTCTTGATAACTATAATTTTGTTTCTTTTTAAAAATGTGCTGCTATTCACTAGAATCTGGGAGACTTAAGCCAAATTTTAGAAAGGAAATACATAAACATCTATAAAAATTTTAGTTCATCTGCCTAATTTATAAAGTGGTAATATCACATAATTTTTATTTTTAACATTAGTTTTAGCAAAATAATATGTGCACATGGCATAAGAGATAAAGGTACAGAAGAGTTAATGATAAATAGCAAGAGTCCATTTCTTTTAATTATCAATTCTTAGTTCTTTAGGAAGAGATTTCTGTAACGCTTACATTCTCTCATACAGGAAATTTATAAAATTCAAATAATCTCTTATCTTCCTCTAAAGTGAGTTTTTAGATGTATTCCTTTTCTCAGTGTTCATATTATTTTTGGTTTTTCTGTTTGCTGCCTTTGTTATTTTAAATGTATACCCTTTTCTAATATATCAACTTTGGTTATTTATCTCCCTACTCCTACTTCCCCTTCCTTCTGCAATCTCTGTTCAGTTTTATTTATTCTTATACATTACCCGAGTTAGTAAATAAACATTTATTTTTACTTTTGTACCTATATTATGATAGTTCTCTGAGTATTAGGATCATTTGTTGCAAAGTCAGGTGAGAGTCCCAGACTTCCTTTTATGAGTTGGATTCAACTCAAGGCAGTAGGTTTGGTTTAGTAGCACCACTTATAGGCCACTCAGTGGAAAATGTTTCTTGCATGAAGCCAAAAAGGTTTTGTTTTTGTTAGCCTCTATCAGTTGCTTAAAGTCGTGTATCATTTTTCATTTGTTTTTATTTCTCCTCTCTTGTGTATTGGTCTGGGTTTATTCATTTTTATTGTTACTTTCTTTTTTCTTTTCCAGTTGGATTTTTTTGTAGGAACTGGAAGTATTGCTGAGTCTGCTATCTTGAAACATAAACCTTCACCTGTTCTTTTTATACTTTGTTTATTATCAGGAAATTACTTTAGCAAACTAAATTAGGATTTCCTTTGTAGTAATCCTACTTGAAGAGTAAAAGTTTTAATGAAAGAGTACCAGATTAATGTAAATTCTAGTAGGTAATGAAATTACCAATTCATTAATTACTTTGTAAGGCCTTATTTACTATTCTGTTTTTCAGAAATAGTGGGAGCCCAAAGTATATGAGACATCTACAGAAGCTCATCTAATTCTCTTCACGTAGTCAGTGCATATATATGAAAATGGCACTAAATAAACATCTGTTTTGATCTATATAGAAATGTAAATTAGTTTGACACTGCATTTTTAATAGGTGTACTGATTCCTGCCCATGGCAGTTTAAAACATCAGAAATTGAATTCTGCAAATTCAAGTCTTGATACGCTGTGTTTTTCTTTCATTTGCGCTTTTTTTTTCCCCCATCTTAATCTTTTGTGTGATGTTTGGTAACGTTAAGTTTAAAATGTAGTTTTAAATAAAGTTTGGACTTGTCTGTAAAGTATCTTTTTTGGAAATTATGTTGAATTGTATACAGCAAGTCACTGTTCTATATAATTAGGCTATTCAGAGAAGAGCAGTGGTAAAGAGTCAAAAGTTAGAGAAATATACTATTTATTATAAAGCCCAGCCACTGATCTTTTTCATTAGGCAAGGCTTTCAACTAATGCCAGTATTGCTGCTATTGGGCCTACTGCTTTTTTAGACAACTGTATGTCCTATTCTGGTGCAAGAATAGGGCAGGTTATAAAGATATCCAAGATATCTGTGAGGTTATTGTAGAATGAATATATATTAATACTCTGTTCAAATTGGGTAAAAGTTTAGAATACTTATCTATAGTACCTAGAACTTAAATAATTATCTACTAGATAAATATTAATATTTTCCAGAATTTCAATTCCTATGTCACTTTAAACTGAAAAAAAGAAAGCTTTATATAATTGTAAGTATTTCTGCACAGGCAAGTAACATTATGATTAATTTAAATGAAAAACCAAATTCTTTCAAATAGGGATTAGTAGAACTAAATTTATTTACCAGTACAATAAGGTTCTGTATACCTTCAGACAGACTCTTTCCTTTTGAGATGATAGTTTAAGACCAAACCACAGCAGTTGCTTCTCTATGTCATAAGAGATAGCAGGTTCACAGATGAAGTATTGAGTAAAGAAAACCTATGTGACTTTTTCATCACTAAGTAAATCAGCTTTTAAAAGATGATTTATGCCCTAAACTTAACATTTACTCAGTAAGGCTCCATAGATCTGGTTAACAAATAGTAAATCAACCTTATGGATTCTTCCTTGAATAAAATATAAAGAATTAGCTACAAGTCTTTTAAACTAGATAACAATTAACAAATACTTCATAGGGAAAGAACATGGTTAGTACTCCTCTAAAATACATACTTACTTGATACCTCAGTGTAAAAGTATAGCCGGTCAGGGAATATTAAATGAAGATTTCCCTAGAAGAATATTTACTATAGTAATATATAGTAATATATTACTACTTAATTTAAATTATGTAAGACATATCTAAATTTAATCAAATTTATTCAGAAAATAACCATTCCAAAATCAAGAAATTTTAACTAGTTGGCCTTACTTCAGGAAAATTGAAACAGTAAGTTACATTATATGTGTATCCAAATTCTGTATTTGTTTTCTAGATTCTAAGGAGAAAAAAGGGGAAAGCTTCATTTTGATACTCAAAGCCAAGCCTTACATATTGTGGCTATCTCTCTGTGCATGCATATTAAAGATAGATATGGTGGAAGACTTGTACTTATATCTTTGTTATTAGTGTAGTACCTATGAACCTTATCAAAATTGCTTATTTGACTTGTGTTATAGCTGCTGTTATCTAGTATGTTATTTTCCTTTTTTCAGTAAATAATTTAGTTTTTAAATTCCTAAGACTTGAGAGCAGATAACTTGTTTAATATGTTTTCCTTAGTAACTACTGCTAAATGGTTAGGCATTAAATATTCTTGTTTGCCTTAATTTTTTTCGTTAAAAATTTGGTTAGAGGTAGAGGGTGAAACAGTCAAGATGAGTGAGAGAGAACCTGTGCAGGTGAGATATGCCTGATTAGAGCTAGCCAGCCTGTGGAAGTACTCTTTGTATTTTGTAACATTCACCTTGGATAAACTGCTTTTTCACTGTTAATAAATGTGTATCCTACATACAAGCCTGAGTTGTATTTTCATTTAAATTGACATGTACAGTTATGCTTAAGAATTTAATCCAGAATTATGGTTTTATTTGACATTAAAAACAAAATCAAGACATGAAAAATGACTTACTAACTAGACAGATTTATTAAGCTTGAGATCATTTTCCTATAATATAGATATGCTGTGATATTTCTTAGTTACACACTTTTAGACTATATAGAGAACATTCTCATATATACTGCAAAATAGATTAGTTACTGTGGTAGTTAAATCTGTATGGCATCTTGGCTGGGCCTGGTTGAGTGGCTGGGCAGCTGGTGATAGTTATTCCCCATGATGAAACTGGCAACTCCATGGTGGGATCTACCACAAGCAGCTGAGTAGCTGCCTTTGGTATGTGGTCTGCTTCCTATATATAAGGAGAATCCTTGGGGATGGTCTCTAGCTTATGGCACGCTTGAACCCTGCATGTAGCTGTGTCATTGTTCAGCAGCCTGCCATGCTCTGCCGACCTTGGGACTTACAATGGACTTAAATTAATGGCCTGCTGTGTGGTTTGGTAGCATCGGGACTGTGCCTTTTTGCTTGTCAACCTTGGATTGTCAACCTCAGTAGCCAGTAGCTGTCTGAGTGAAGAAAAGCCTCTAGCTCCAGTGGTCCAGGAGCAAGAGGCAAAGCTGAAGCCCAAGGTCGAGGGGTTTTTACACAGCCTCTAGAGTACGGCACTTTGAACTCGGACCTCTAGCCTCCAAACGGTAAGAGAATAAACTCCTGTTTGTTAAGGCCATCCCCTTTGTGGTATATTCTTGTCAGAGCAGCACTAGGTAACCAGAACACAATATGGTACCAAAAGAGTGGGATGCTCCTCTGACAGATACCTAAAATGTGGAAACAGGAGTGGAGTGCATCCTTGACCTGAGACCCTGGCGTATGGCATGAGAGATGGCAGGAGCAAAGCCAAGAGACTGGCAAAGAGATACCGGCAGAGAGGCTACCATGAGAGATCACAGTAGCAGAGCCCAGAGACTGGCATTAAACAACAGTAGGCTTACCAGCCCATGGAGGAGAAAGCCAGGTGCCATTGGGTAGGCAGTTTCCTGGCGCAGTGGGTTGCCTTCAGGCATTAATTGATAGAGAAGACAGGCATAAAATGGAGTAGCAGGTTGGCTGGCACACAGAGCAAGAAAGCTGACTGTTTTTAGGGCAGGAAGATTCCCTGCGGAGTGGGTTGCCTTTGGCATTAATTGGCAGAAGTGGAGAGACTAAGGAAATGGGAAACAGAGCTGCCCCAGCCTCAAAGGGTAGGACCATGGCTTTTGGGGGTGGAACCACCATAGCCCCCTAGGTTTCAAAGAGTTAGACCTTCACCAACTCGGTTCTGGAGTGTGGGGCTGCTTGGTCATGTAGCCAGTGGGATGGAGCCATAGCTGCTGCCCAAGAGTGAGGGGGCAGGGCTGTCATGCCGAAGAGGGAGAGGAACAGGGCCCGCCAGACCAAGGGGGTGAAGTCACCACTCAGGAACTAGGGAATTAGTGCCACCCAGTGAAGGAGATCTGTACAGATGCCACCCAATGAAGATCTGTACAGGTGCCAAGTTGACAAGGAATGGAATTATGGTAATTAACTTTGTATGTCAAGTTGGCTGGGCCTGGTTGACTGGCTGGGCAGCTGGTGTTATTTTTCCATGGTGAGATCGGCAGTCGACTCCATGGTGGGATCTACCACAAGCAGCTGCCTTTGGTATGTGGTCTGCTTCCAGTATATAAGGAGAAGCCTTGGGGATAGCCTCTACCTTATGGCACGCTTGGACCCTGCATGTAGCTGTGTCATTGTTCAGCAGCCTGCCATGTTCTGCCAACCTTGGGACTTAAAAAGGACTTGAATTAATGGCCTGCTGTGTGGTTTGGTAACATCAGGACTGTGCCGTTTTATTTGTCGACCTTGGGCTTGTTAGCCTCAGCAGCCAGCAACTGAGTGAAGAAAAGCCTCTGGCTTCAGTGGGCCAGGAGCAAGAGGCAAAGCTGAAGCTCAAGATCGAGGGACTTTCACACAGCCCCTAGAGCCTGGTGTTTTGAACTTGGAACTCTATCTTCCCAAACTGTAAGAGAATAAACTCCTGTTTGTTAATAAGGCCTTCCCCTTTGTGGTATATTCTTGTCAGAGCAGCAGTAGGTAACAAGAACAGTTACAGAAAAGGATCAGAGAGTTTTGGTTGGACAAAGGGTCCTTGCCTATCTGTACTAAGAATAGTCAGAGACAGCAAAATGTTTCTCAAGGAGGGTTTTTTTGTTTTGGTTTTTAACTTGGCAAGTAAAAATGGAGACAGCATGGGCTAAAGAGCCACTACACAACTGCCTTCCTGAAGGGGAGTGGCTTTAGGGTTTTATAAAAAGGAAAAACCAAACTCACTGCCAAGGAGTGAAATTGAACTCATAATGACCCCTCTTTGTGATTCCCAGGCAGTATCACTATCGAAGTAGATTGCCCAACCTTTCTTCACAAGGAGTGGCTGGTGGGTTTAAACTGCAGCCTCCTGGTTAGCAGTTAAATGCCTTAGGTACTATGCCACCAAGCTCCTGAGGTTTTATAGGTTTCAGGAAAATAAAGAAGTTACACGTATTCATCGGGGGAAGAGTTATAGCTTAGTATGAAGTAGTTAATGGAACTTTCACTTCTGAAATGGGTTTGTGTATCACCAAAGACGCAGTTCTGGAGACTTGGGGTTCCAGGGTCAGTTAGAGGGCAGAGTTGTTCTTTTCTCTACATGCTCCTGGCTCTGGCTCTGGAACCACACTGGAATTTATGGCTGAAGGGTATCTGTAAGCAGGAATGTCAGCAGGAAGCAGAATGGAGGTGTTTCTAGTTTGGCTGATAAGGCTTTGTTTATTGCTTATAATGCCCTAGGTCCCATCCCCAAGAGTGATAAGAGGCTTGCTTTCTAGCTTAACTGGTCTCAAAGATAATGAAGTTTTCTAAACTAGCTGGCTTCATTGGACAAGTTTCCTTG